TTCCGCGAGCAGTTAAAGCAAGTCATCATCCAATCAGATGCATGCATCTAGTAACTTGCCGAGCATGCGCACAAAAACGTGGGTCAAGTTATAACTCTGTATATGTATCTACTCTGTGATTAGGGTGAGCTGCGTCTTTTGAAGTAAGGATGATTGGCACACCCCACTTCCTTATTTATCTCAACTCTCATATCAAAACTCAGCTTTGATATTTTTTGTCAAACCGACGAATAAAAGTTAACTGGTGCATTTTATTTTTAATTAATTAAGTTTGCTGAGCAATTTATTGAAACATATTCATAGTGCTACAGAACCAACGAGTGCAGTAATAGATTCAATCCCTCTATGGTAACTTCAAGTAACAAAATCAAAACAACTTTCTGTTTCTCTTACACCTACACATGCATATGGTGACGTATTGACCCACTTTTTTCTGCTAAGCAAGAAGAAAACTTTTAGCTTTCATACACAGATTTTTTTTCGACTCGCATCACGTCATCATACAGTAATCGTACTCGGTTTTACCTATACAGCCTCGTTTTCGTGATTTGAGATATTGAATTTCAGAACTCGAAATTGCACTTGAAACCATCCTATTATTACCTATACTTATTTAGCCTTAATTTGCACACCGTGTAATACATGTACACAGCCAAAGAAAGTCTTTTAGTATCAAACATGCCAGTATAGCCGCAAACATGTTCGTGTTACTGATATTGGCCTTGCCTAAAGCCAGCGGCTATGTATTGATTACAACCATTTCGACGCAGCACTTTTCTTGCGACAGTAACTCCTAGATATGGTCCTTGCCTAAAGCCAGTAAAGGTAAATAATTGACCTCCAACAAGTGCAGTACCAAGCGAACACGTTAGAATGAGCTTTGTTTTGTTTTATTTTATATAAATGTGATTAGTTCTATCTTCGAAAAATAAGAAAAAAATAAACTGTTTAGGTGCAAGTTCTCGGACACTGTCGGTATTTCGAACAAACATCATATTCACCTGAGTACCCAACACCAGCACACACAAAGTAATGAATATAAGGGAAATTACATTTATTACACCGAGGGAGGGGGATGAAGATGTCTTGAAAAAAGCTCATTTTTACAGGGCCCCTGTTGAGGTTATCGATAAATTTCGATGCCCCCCCCCCTCCAAGTTTTTAAAATTTTCAATGCCCCCCCTCTAGAATTCGGAATCGAAGGAGTACAATCCGGAATTCTCTCTTATCATAGATACAATTTGCAGTTCCTCAAGATGTCTGATATACTCAAGCATGTGCTTCTCCTCAACAAAACTACCGATCTGCTGCTTCTTTCACCTCACTAGCGCCAGATGAAATGGCACCGTCTTTAAAACATTTTAAATTGGCTCTAGGGGTGAAATTATCAACAGGTTGTTGCTGTCCATCATTCAGCGTATTCGGAGTCTTGAACACGTTCATGTAGTGGTCAGGATTTCCTGGATCAGGGTAATGTGCTGGAACCTTACAGTATGTCGCCCCCACCCAACGTATCTCCCGGCATCTGTTGCAAATGTCTTTGTATGCCTGTCAAAAAATGCATGCAGAAGTGGCCAGTATGCTTCAATTTCTTTAATTTCCATCCCGTTTGTACGAAATATCCCATAAACATAGAACATATCATTCTTGCAAATCGTATATATGCTTTTTTGTTTAAAAGAGCCGGAAAATTTGCCATGTATTCTAATAAAATATGCCTTTCCTGGAAGTCACAAACCAGAGCAAGTCTAGACATGTACGCTTTAGCTTACTAAAATAGAAAATAATATATCGCTCGTTTAAATATCTTAATGTGACTTCATTTCCATCATCATTTTGATTAATAATCTACATTTTATAGTCTCCTCTATTTCAGAACCATCGTCAGAGATACGAAAAACTAGTTTCATATTTATTCTGACACTGTAGAGGATTCGAAGTCGTATTTTCTGGTTGCTGGACCGCCGCTCTACCCATTGATAGTCAACGGGGATTGGTATCCAATTTAAGTAAAACATTTTTGCGCCAACTTAACGCTTGTCTAGGAGGACGTCCAGTGTTTCAATTCTATTTCAGAACCATCCTCAGATCTAAGATAGTTTCATAATCTGATTCTGACACTGCGCAGAGGATATAACGACAAATTCGTTGTCTCGAGCGGCAACTCAAATTCTCGCATCTTTGTTGTCCAGGGGCCGGTTGTATAAAAAAGTGATTAAAGTTAACTATAATTAAGTGCAAACGTCATCCAATAAGAAGCCCGTATTTGAGAGTTAATCACAATTTAACTACAAAATAGTGATTAAAAAGTGATTAAGAGTTTTATACAACCGGTCCCAGTATATTATATAGCCGGATGTTGTAAGAACTAAAAATTAAGCTGGTATCTGATGTACAACAGTACAAGGAAAACCGTACATGGGACAGGATTGCTTGTAGCAAATGCCGCGATGAATATTAATTTAAGCACTTGACATGTCGGATATTTAAAGAGCAATCATCTTGTGCCCATTCCACTGAAACAGTTTTGTATGTCATTGTGTTCAAAATCGGGTTAAATGTGACAAAATTTTAATCCTCTTGCGTAGTCGTCAGAGGAAACGCCTTTCACCTTGAATGAGATCGTGGGTTCGATTCTCGCTACAGCGGACTCATGTGAAAAGAATCGGTCAACGCTCTTCCAATGTCGTTGGTTTTTCAGTTGGACAACTAAGGTGATGTCACAGCGACGTGCATGTATAATAATTGTTTTAAAAACATGCCTAAGCCACGACAAAGTATTCAAGGTAAATGTTTTTCGTCTTTGTTTTGTATTTTTTTACATTTGTAGCTACGAAATTGGCGTCACAAATTTTAACGAAATTTGCGATGTATTTTTCACTGTTTAGTGCTTGAAATATTTGCTAAAATTGACTGGGAATACTTGAGTTTTCATCGTAGAATGGCGTGGTTATATTTATTTGCTCTTTGACTAAAATGTTTAGCTGTATTATTGCTAAACATGCCGTTTTTGAGAATTTGATTTTCAACTAGGTTGAGGCATCCAACCACGCCATCAATCCCAGTAAAAACATTAGGTCACGTCAGCTAGTTTCATATCCATTTATTTTATTATCCATGATAAAACTAAACTGGCTTTTAAAATGGCTTTATCGATAAACTTTGAGTTTGCAATAAAATGACTTCGAATTCTCGCTTGCAAATGACTCTGCTTTCTTTTTTATTTAAAAAATTCAATATCATAAAAAAGGGAATCAATATTACTAAAGATACACTGAAATAATATGCTGTCTTGTTTAGTTGTTTCATATATGCAAAGGCCGTCGGGTTTTAAATTAAATCCATTATAAAATCAATATTTAAAACAAAGTTACCTTCGTTAACGTTGGCTCACTTCTTTTAGCCGATTCTTTCGCTATTTCTTTCTTGAAATTTACAAAATCTTGCGAAAATGCGAGCGAAAATGAAATATATTTGTGATATTTGCAAGAAATTTATCAATCATCAAATCAAGAAATGTTTGCTATTTAGCTGTCGTCATGCAGTCGTTATAATGCAAACTTTAAATTGGACCAATCAGTTTTCGCTATTCGTGACAGTCCGCCACATATTTTGAGATCAGTGAGGATGACCACCCACCGAAACTTCGTTGGTGAGCCACGCCCGCGATATTTGATGAACTTTAGACTTCGCTAATGCTTTCGTTTCCCCGGGTGTAAATAGCCGGGGGGAATTAGTACCCTCGCACGGCGCTTCGCGCCGTCGGCTCGGGGATTATTAAGCATAAAAATATTCACCATTATTAAATTAATAAGGTGGTTCGTTGTGGTATAACACAAAATCCCTATACAAGCAAAAAACATAACATGCTATATGAACAAACCCGCGTGACCATTCGTTTGTGCGGGAATATGAACTAAACAACTTCCAACATGTGTCGGAACTGAGCGGTTAATTACGTGGACATCTCGCGTGTGCTACACGCGAGCACATGGAATACTAATTATGTATGTAGCGGGAAAACAACAGCGAGAGCTTATCAATATATTTTTTATATTCCGAGATTTTTAGTGATTTTTATTGTGAGTAGAGTGAATTTTTCGCAGATACATACCGGGGAGGCAGGTACTTTGCGAAACGTGGCACCTCCGAGACGGGATTTAGTGATATTGTTGTTATATTCGACGATTTTTCGGTGATTTTAAACGCGATTGTTTAGGCCACTACAAGTTAATCTTTAGTTTCTGGTCCGGCCTTACCTTCGTTTACGACGCGGGCGGGCGGGTGGTTAGGACTATAGGACATAATTACAATTGTGGCTTTGCCCACATTTTTGTGGTCTTTCTTGTCCCTTTTCATGCTAATGGTATCAAAATGTTATGAAATTTTACATAAATTGCATTTATATTATTTATAAATCGACATGTATGATAGATAACAAAGGATTTTACATATCAAAATGATCTATTAATATTTCTAGTTTTTTTACCTCGTAATCTCGATAAGGCAGCGGTTTTTACCATTCAATACTACATTTTGCTAGGTCTTTTTAGTGTAAATTGAATATTTATCGTTCTATAAGTTAAATCCGTCGCGAAAATTTTCAAGAACTAGAAATTAATCGTAAATAACAAAATAGTCCTGAAATAATACTTTACGGAGAAAGGACATGGGCGGCGGACCAGAAACTAAGGATTAACTTGTAGTGGCCCAAGATTTTACAAATGATTATGTTTTGAATTAATAATTTCAAGTTAATTTAGTAAGGTGAAGGTGCGTAATGATCAAAGGAGCATAAACGTTCGATTCGATGTTGTGAAGAAACTATTTGTCAGCTAGATACTATTTTTCTCTCTATGTATATTTTCAATGTATTTCAATGTAATAAAAAATATATAAATTTGCACCATAGGTGAATTACATTATATTTACAAGTATATACTATTTAGTATAAATATATATCTTATTTCTAATTGTTTCATACCCTCTCAAGCTGTTTCATGTGGTGAATATAAGTATCTCATGCAGTAAACAATGGTATCAAATGTATACAGTCTGTTGTGTTTGTGAGGGTATGAGGAAATTTATAACTTGTAATCTTATTTTTCTTCCAGCTACGAAGAAGACTTTCCTGATCTCGTTCCAGGTGTTGGTGATGCTGGTGGCGATGACGAAGATGACACTGAGATGCTGATTGTCCCAGAAAACGACGATGCCAATGCTGATGATGAAAATGATGACTACATTCCTGGTGCTGAGATTGGAACCAGCAGTCCGGTCTGTGGTAATGGTAGACAGACTGGGATTCCACGTGGTAGGGCAAGTGGTAGAGGCCTGGTTAGAGGAAGGGACCCGGCTAGGGGTAGGGGCCCGGCTAGGGGAAGGGGCCAGGCTAGGGGAAGGGGACAAGCAAGGGGAAGGGGCCGAGGAAGGTGCAGGGGTAAGGCCGAAGCTGGGGTTCGTGTCCAAGGGGGTGACCAGACCTGGAAGAGCTATGGGGACCCTGATGTTGGAAATGACATTCCAACATTTCAGCCAACCCGCCCACCCGGACTACACTTTGATCAGCCCACACTTAAACGAACCATGACCACTGCTAGTGAGTTCTTTCATCTTTTTTTCAGTGCAGAAATGTTAGCTAGTATAGTAACTCATACAAACACATATGCTTACAATAACATTGCATCAGGTACACACTATACCTACACAATGGCTGATGGTAGTTGGAAAGAAACCAGCCCTGAAGAGATAGATAGACTAATTGCTCTTCTTCTTTATTTTGGTTTAGTGCGGGTAAGTACACAGTTTGATTATTGGAGTACTAAGTCCCTGTATCATGGATTGTGGGCCCGGGCCATAATGTCAAGGGATAGGTTTAGTGCCCTCATGGCCTTTTTGCATGTTGTAGACCCAAATACCGAAGACCCCGGGGATAAGTTGCGGAATGTAAAAGCGTTCGTCACCTATTTCAAATCCCGGTGCCTTAGTTTGTACCAGCCCAAACAGAATCTTGCCATTGATGAACGTATGGTTAAATCTAGGCACAGATCTGGCATTAGACAGTATATCAGGGATAAGCCCATTAAGTGGGGGTTGAAACTTTGGGTTTTAGCCGACAGCAGTAATGGATATACCGTTGACTTCAATGTGTATATTGGGAGGCATGCTGCGGAAACTGTTAGTAATAATGGTCTGGGGTATGATGTAGTTATGGAACTAATTCAACCTTTTTTGCCATCAGGGCTATCATTTGTTTTTTGATAATTTTTATTCATCAGTTGTTCTTTTCAGAGATTTATTTGATGTCGGTGTGCTGGCAACTGGGACAATATCGGAGAACCGCAGACAATTCCCGGTGAGCATGAAGAATGGACGGCAGTGGGCAAAGAAACAGGAAAGGGGAAGTATGCGCTGGGAGAGGGTTCCTCCCTGCCTTTGTTTACAGTGGATAGATAACAAGGTTGTATCAGTACTAACAACCCTAGATAATGCTAATGATAAGGTTCCAACTGACAGAAAGACTAAAACAGGTAATGTATGGACTAATAGAATAGTTGACCAACCCAAGGCCAATGATAGATACAATAGGTATATGAATGGGGTTGATCGTTCGGATCAACTCATAGGTACTAATAATGTTATGCGTAAGTGCTTGCGATGGTGGAAAACCTTGTTCTTCCATCTCATTGATATTGCTATTGTAAACAGTTTCATTCTCTTTCAAGAACACCGAGCCAATTTCCCAGACAGTGAGGATTTACGAAGACCCCCCGGGTACACAGTTCGTAATTTTAGGGAGGAGGTTATCAGGCAAATTTGTGGGTTCTCTGAGTATGCTAACCCCCCTGTAGCTGTAAGGAGGCCAACTCTCCCTAACCCCACCAGTGTGTTTGATTCTATTCATGTGCCAGAGTTTACAGATTTTAGGAGACGGTGCACGGTTTGTTACAAGCAGGGTAGAGGTGAGTTCAAGGTGCACACGTATTGTAGTGCCCCACAGTGTGGTAAGTATCTACATGTAACTAAGGAGAGAAATTGTTTTTTGGAATGGCATAATAGTGCATATCATTATAATTAACATATACATGATCTACAATAATATAAATAATGATATCAAAGATTTTGTTAGTATCACACTAAGAGTTGAAGGATTTTGTAAATGGAAATTATTCATGGTAAAATTACATACATTCATACATTTATCAGACCTAACCAGGAACAGCTACAAAAAATGAAATTATAGGTCCAAGAGTGAAACTTGCGGCCCTGTGATTCCAATACAGCGGAATCGAAGGGCCCAGGGCCCCAGGTTTGATTCCTGCCAGGGACCTGTAGTCGCATTTTTTCACAGCTGTTCCTGGTTAGGTCTAATAAATGTATTTAAATTCACCCTCAATCATTTCCATCTACAAAATCCTTCAACTGTAATATAAATAATGATAACATACACAAAAAAGGTAAATAAACAAAAAAAAGTGGGTTATATACTGTATAAGTGTGTGGAGATCCAGATCCAATAAGTGAGTGATGTGTGGAGATCCAGAAGCACAAAAATCAAAGTGCAGGAACATATATAAAGTATCATGGACAAAATATTCTATGCATACTAATATTTTCCCGCATACATTTCAAAACAAGACACATTTATGTGTACTATCGTTTTTACTACATTTTGATGGTTTCGAGAAGGGTTACTCAAACAGCCGTAACTTTTTTCTTTTTATTCCCCTTCAGCCATACTTGCTGGACATGTTGCTAATAGATAAGTATAACTTTGCATTTAAATTTTTACTACACATTGCAATATGTGCAACATAGATAAGTTCATGTCTAAAATTTGAAGACACGTTTTATAATTTATGTTAAATTAGGCAAATGTATTTCAAAATGTACTGGTTTTTTTTTAAAAGTGAAATAAAATTTTGATAGCTTATTAAATAAGCTTTAAAAAGAGGTATAACTTGTTTTGTAGACTGTAGTTGTGGATACTTGTTCAGAAAGAAGCCGAGGGAGAGGTGCGCTCAATTTATGGTGTTTTTTGACCAGTAATGAAAGAGTTTATTGACGAATGGTGTCAGTGACGATGTCAGTCAGCGTATTTTTCAAATATCGTTTCATTCATTTGATTCCCGATGATGACTAAAACAAAGTCAGAATATATTAAAATTGTTCCTTTTCGGAGTTATCGTTGTTTTGTATTTTGGAAAAATACTTAGTGCTTCTCGTATTTCAACAGTTGTGTTTTAAGAAATTAACTGAGAAAATCGTGGTAAAAGTTTATCATATCAAGATTATTTTATTTGTGTGCATGGGCACAGCACCTTATAGAGACTTTCAGAATTGACTTCCACTATCCCTTAATTAACCAATCAGATGCGTTTTATATATATGATTACCCAGTCCGATGCGTACTAAGTCCGTGAGAGGTACTGCATGGTAGTGGTATGGGAAGTAAAATGTGAACCTCTCTATTACTGATTTAAAAAAAACATTTTTTCGTAAATTATGAATTGAGTTTTGCAAGATTGTATTAGGGTATTTCGAGTACCTACATTTGTTGCCAAGTACTATGAAGAAAGCAGATACTATCAACCTTTCAGCGCAGTTCACCACAGGAAAATAAGGATATACTCTTAGGAAAATTTTAAATTCAACAAACTTGTGTTTTTCTCCGTTTTTATTTTTCAAAACACGCCCACCTAACAGGAAGAAATTACAATACTAACCCAAGTGGTATATGTTTACAATTTGCGTCATCAAACGTTGAAATAAAAAGAATGCAGTATATATGTCTTTAATAGTGGCTTATATTGTACCCCCACCTTAATCAAAGCACATTTTGTCTTTCGAAGAAGTTTACGCTGTCACATAACTTTAATTACAAACAACACTCTGAGCAGAGAAATTTCGATAGTCTATAAAAGACATGAAAACCCAATTTGATGGCTTTTACACAAGGACGGACTATACAGTAACAATCTTCTACTAAGTACAGGAAGGCGTGGATTTGCTGATATTTAAGAATAATTTGCAATTAAACAAAGTTTCTTTTTTCCAAGTCTTACACCCTCCTCAATTTAACTCACCCACTTAAGTACGACAGGAAGAACATACCATATAAGCTATGACATCATATACACTATGTATGTTCATAATACGTTTAGTGGCTAATAATCGGTGCTTGGAGATTTGTCTTCGTTTATAGTCTAGGCAAAGTATCGCTTTGTTTTGTTTTGTTTGAGTATATAGCGGTCCAGTATGTCGTCTGTCGTAACCGGCGTTCTAAGTTCTACAGTATGCTTATTGTGGAACAAAGCGAGTGATGGTACAACGGTTAAACTTAAGGACGCTCACATAACAGATGCACAAATTCGCGAGACCGTTGTGCAAGAATTAACGAAGATCCAAACAAAACTTGATGGTCTTTCACGCAAAGACCTGCACTGCAGCTACAGTTCCTTACGAGAAGGCGTAGATTTGATGAATGTTTGCCTCGATAAATCAGTGGACGAGCAGGAACTAATATTGAACGAGACTGGAGATGACGGGGGTGAAACATCAAGAATATCGAGTGGTGACTGTGGTGTTGAATCTGGTTTCTTTAACAAAGCCTTAGAACTTTCTCACGCCATGGGAAAGCTAAAACTCAATTCATATCAAGAATGGGAATCCGCTAAAGAACGATTCACGCACGCGAGTAAGATAGCAACGCAAGCTTTCTCAACTGAGAACGTAAGTATTAAAGACAAAATCTTCGCTGCGAAACTTCGAATAGTTTCCGAGATAATGGAACGTCTCGAAAGTCCTGAGACTGCGTCCACAGAGTGTCTGTCGTTTTTGGTAAAGCTGCATAGCTTACCAGCCATTCAAGAGATAGTTTCGGTGTATCTTAATGGTGGAATCAAGTCGATATTAAACAAAGCAGGTCGAGTGGAAAACGTCAAATCTCTTATGTTAATTAACTGTGTTTTGTTTCAATTTGTTTCGAAATTCAGCAATAAATATTGCTCCGCACACGGCTGGCCAACAGTTGAACTTGCTGATCGCAGTTTTTCCCCGATATTAAATTGGCAGGAGGTTTCGACAAGACGGTCTATGACTTTGGGGGAAGAATTGACTCAACCTCCAAACGAGCTGATACCTGATGAAGAACTAGTCTCGCTTTATTCTGCAGTGAACAGTCATGGGCAGATTCTTGTGGGGCATCGTGACGATATAAAGCTTATTTGTAGGGCAGGTAAAAGCAAGGTGGTTAAATTACCTGCCCTCAGAGAAAGTGAAGTTATTGTGCAATACATTGAAGGAGTTGCTGTTGATGAAAAAGACAATGTCTATGTTGTCAAAGAGCTCAAGATTCGTAGTGATGTTATACGCTACGTGTTGTATGTATTGAATGAGAATTACAACGTTATACATGAATGTACATTGAAGTTTCTGGAGGGGACAAAAAGTGTTCCGGTGAGGTTTGCTGTAAACAAGAATAACAATATCATCCTGATCAAACAAAACGATCGCCGTGTGTATGTCTGTGACATCACTGGCAATTTGAAATACACGTTTGAACGAGACTCACGTTGCCATCGCCATTTGTATATTTCTGAAAAGAATGAATTCATCATATCTTTATCACACGATCGCAAGGCAGTACAATCCTTTACAGAGGAAGGAGATCTCGAGTCAACAATACAAGTACCAAAAGATCACGTAGTTATAAGCGTTGCTTTCCACTATGTAATTGGTAAGATAATTGTCTTAACCTTTATCAAGAAAAAAGATGAATATTTCCTTCTCTGCCTCTCTGAAAAAGGCGATCTGGAGAAGTCGACGTTCTTTTGTAAGAGAATTACACAGGAATTTGGCCAAAACATCACGTCCCATCCAAGCGGTCCTGTTGCTGTTGTAAGCAGGAGAAGAATCACATTCATATAATGGAACTGTCCATGTTTTCGCAGTAAAGAAGGACTTGCGTTTGTATAGACTATATCTAACTTTAGCATCTTAAATTTATATATTGTATAACCTTGATTATAAAATTTTACAAATACGTCAACGCATATGTACGACAATTGTGAATATTAAGAAGCTTTTACATGCAGTTTGTTGATCAATATTGAAGTGTGTAAGTTTCAAAATACTGGATATAATTCAATTTTAGCAATATATTCAATTTTAACAATAACTGTGGCTTGGTGAATTTGAATATACGGTTGAATTTATTATGCATTCAAACTTTTTTTCGTTCGTGATTGGTTAAGTGTCCTGTATAGTAATGACTATATGCACACATGCCATTGGCCAATCACGAGTCTTCAATAATGTCACGTGCATGCCCGATATTAGTAAGCTCAAGCAAGCGACGTTTTTGTCAACACGGACGTCACCCGAAATTTATAAATCTTATGTTTTGTCATATGTGTTGAAGATCCCCTCTTGCCAATCTGACGTCCGTGTTGACAAAATTAAGCTCCCAATTTTTCGATCCAGGACAGGAGCATATTGGACAGCAGCAGTGGTGTAACGGAACCGCCTGAGGCCCCCGTTAAATTTTTAAGTGCGGCCCTATTTTTTCCCAAGGGAAGAAGGGGGGAGGAAACAATTTTCCGGACCATATTCCTTAAGCCTGGTTCACATTGATCGGCGATCTTCTACGATCCATTGTCTGTGAGCAACGAAGAAGAAAATGCACAAAACATTTTATGCATAACTGACCACCGACAATGGGCATCGCCGATGTTTACGATCAATGTGAACCAGGCTTTAAAAATAAGGTGTTTAAAAAATTAAAGTAAAAGTTAAAAAGCCGCAAAGACATTTCCTATCAATGTCTACCAAAAAAGGGTGTCCAAATTTCACCAATTTCTGCTTTTGGGGGCCACCCGTTGCAAATTTTCTGACCCTCTATAGCTGAGGCTCGTGTCAATTTGCCCAATGTACTAGAAAAACTTTTATGGCCATTTTTGCCAGGGGCTCCCAGGCGTGGGGACCCCCCACTTCTGGGCACCCTCCAGTTACGCCACTGGATAGCAGCTTTCGTGGCTTTATTTCCTGATTTATCAACCCGTCTGAGATGTTTTGTCAATTTCAAACACACAACAAACGATATGGCAAAATAATGAAAAGGGATTTGAACATCAAGACAATAAACTTGTTTGAAAAGTCACGAAATTCATTTGTTTACAATATATCATTTTTTCGCCAAAATTATGTCAAGTCGCCCTTCAAAAAAGTTGACGTAATTAAAGCATCGAATTGAGTTTTATGTCATGAATCTTAATAAGTTTTACATCAAGTACAACTGACCTTTTGCGTAGTTCACTACAAAAAACTATATATGCCCTGGATTTCCTTTAGGAAAATTTTCAATTCAATTATTTTTCTATTTTTTGAAAACACACCCATGCACCTAAGGGAAGCCTCACATATCGATTTTTTCCACGAGAAACGTCATATGTTCGTTTGGGGGTGGGGGGGTTGGCAGCTGTGACGTTTCTCTGTAAACATCATGGAAAAATTCGATAGTTTTTATCTTTACTGAATATAAAAAAGAAAATAATTTGATACCAACAGCAGTCTATACATTCGTAATACCATACCATACCATACCTGTTCTATACCTATACATTTATATTATTACGGCTTCTTTGCATTGCAAACACTCAAATTTCAAGAAAAACGCGCTAAAATTATCAATATTTCAATTTCATGCAAAAAAGTTGTTTTGAGAAAATTTTGAAGTTCATATTTATAATAAAAAAAGAGTATGTCATGTTCCTCGCGGAAGCATCGCACACAAAATATCGATAATTATGTGTGACGTTTCTACAAGGTAGGGTCTCCAGAGAAACGAACATATGACGTTTCTCATGGACAAAATCGATATGTGAGGCTTCCCTAACAGGAATAAATTACGATATTAACTGAAGTGTTTGATAATCATAGTGGCGTCATCAAAATTTTGAAATAGAAAACTTTGCAATTTAAATTGTGTCTATGATTGTGGTTTAAATTGTACCACACCTTGATCAAAGCAAATTGTGATCATACAAACTGAAATTCCCCGGCGATTTCTTGTAAGTAATTCGCTGGCGTTTCCTTCGTTGGCTGCGATTAAAAATTAGACTTTGGTATGGCGATCAGCGTGAGGGTCGAAAGGGACGGGGGGGAGGGGGCTGTTTACCAATTTGTTCCGGGACCCGTGGTCAATTTAAATTGTGTCGCGGCACCTTAATCAAAGCACATTGTGATCACACAAACTTGGACAGTAGAAACCAGCATTATGTCTTTGGAAGAAATTTGCACAATCACACAATAGACGTACTGTTTATTGCACCCTTGCGGGAATTGCCCCAATGCTCTCGTGTGATTATTTCTTCATGTTTTGTGTAGAGTAGATTTTAGGATAGCCTGGATATAAGGCCAGAAAAATAGCATTACTGGTGTGACACCGAATAGAAATAAATTGGAATAGTAACTGTTTTTCAATTATAGAATGGTGCCAAATCTTTGGGGGCTGAGCTCTACAAAATGAAAGGACATTTTAACAAGGCGGTTCTGCCACCTTAAGCCTCCCCCTCACTATTTGACTGCATATTCTTTGCTGCGGCCAGATTGGCGTGCAGGTGTCACTCTACCCACACACCCACACACACCCCTGTCGCAACATCCCTGGTAATAGTTGTCTTTTTTGAATTATGAATAACCCTGACTGACCTGCAAACTAATTTTCGGAAGTCCAACATCTCAACATGCATTTCCCAATATTCGCATCCCCCACAAGGAACACATAGTGAGTTCCATACCTATCTGGAGCAAGAACTTCAGTCATTTGGCCTATGAAAAAGGTGAAGCCGAGAGGGCAGAAATTGAATTCCAAAATCTGTGAAGGTCGTAAATAATTTTCATAACCAAGTTATTGGTTCATAAAACCATAGTATTATTCTATAAATTGACGAGAGAAATACAAAATTTCGGCATTTGCAGCTTCATATTAACCGCGCAGATAAAAACAACAAAAATTGGGACTGGAACTGAGGTCCAATAGCTCCAGCTTAGCTTCACACCTCGACTTTTTACTAGGTACACAGGGCAAATTATTTTGGGCTTCACTGCAGCTGCTATAGAAGACAGGTTAGGCAGATTTTATTTGGAAACGATATAGATACTGAAAACAGGTAACGAGTATTGTAGAACATAGTCAATAGAATAAGAGGGCTAGGGCATAAACCAAAACAAAATTAAAACATATATAATGAGGTCTATTATGATGTCTACAGAGTTTCTTAATCTTTTTATTCTATTGACTATATGGAGAAATACCTTAGTCTGCCAAAAAATTGTGAAGCAGAGCTCGATGACTTGTGATGTTTCCACGAAGGAAGATTTGATTTCCCCATGCTGAGAAATGAACTTGTTGTGCTTGAATATGGATCAACATCTGTTGGAGTCTTGAAATCAAACTCTATAAATTTACAAGCCATTTCAACAGCTATGCCGAACTAGCATCTCAAGAATTACGGTTAGAATTAAGGGTCAGGTGTAGGACAACTCTTGGTTGGGTTAGTTAGGATCAGGGTATGGGTTAAGATTACTACAATCCTGGAAAAAATATATGGCGACTATTTGTTGAGGGCCCTGAAGGGGTAAAATGGGAACTGGGATTGACCTATTTTTGGACTGGGAAAATGGGATTTGGGTTGCTGGGACTGGGATTTGGCCACTGGGAATGGGAAATGAAGTCCTCAAAAATGGGAATGGGATTGAAGTAATGTGAGTCGATTCCCAATTTTGATCCGTTTTTGGTGTCTTTGGTCATGATTTTTGTTGTAACTATATTATTCACAGCACTACCTGCGAACAGGCATACTCTCAAGCCCGGAATTCTGGGTTTTCTGATTATGCGTGTCTCAGATTGGTCTCAGAATGCTGCAAATGCATTTCCGGGATTGTCCGCCACTTGCACAAAGTGTCCGCCACTTGCACACACGGTGGCTGGTGGCTTAAAAGGTCTTAAAACCGTTTATTCTACCGATAAATAAAGGGGTTTTTATTGACTGGGATTTCAATAACTTGGACTGGGATTTCTAATAAAAATCCAACTGGGACTGGGATTTTGCCAAAATTTCAGGTGGGAAATGGGATTGGGACCCCCCCCCCCCTTCAGGACCCTCTTTGTTAATTCCACAAAAATATATTATAATGTGTTATAATCGTACATTTTCCCCTAAATAACTTAGTGACTGATCTTGAATGCTAAATTCCCCCTTCCCTGGAATAATGTTGAATAAAGTGAAGCCACTTTCCAAGATACATCGTATAAATAGCAACATTGTGTAGGGGGAAAGTGAGAAATGTTAAATTAAGAAATTGAAAAAGTATAATTAAACTAATATTTTTCCAGGCTTAGATTATAGAAAGGGCATGATTTTTTATTAAGTGTACATATTTTTATCAAGGTTGTTAATATGGAGGCAGGGTGCGATTTAGGTCGCCCTAGAATTGGCTAAGCATTGAAATAATATAACTGGAACGCTACCTTCAGATAAACTGCCTGGGGTTAACACCCGCGTGTTTATGCCTCGAGATTCTCTCGTGTAAACAATAGTATTAGAAAAAATAAGAAAAAAGCTAAAAGTTAGTTTTACCTCAATATATGCATTAATAGAAAGCTTTTAAAAAGGGTTTTTTTTATTTGAAGCCCGTTTTCAAAATCAAATATTCATCTTGACGGACTGACCGCGCTCTTCGCATGCGTGAAAAGACTGGGACTGCCGAGTTAATTGGCTTCCAATCTCGTTCCCCGAGCCTGCGATCCTCGGGAAGGAACGCGAGGCTCTGGGATAATCCGTTTCACGGCTAAGATTGAACTTCTGGCTAAGATTGAACTACGCATTCCATTTCAACGGCCAATCAGATTCCTCCCTGAAACGGATTATCCCAGAGCCTCGCGTTCCTTCCCGAGGATCGCAGGCTCGGGGAACGAGATTGATTGGCTTCAAAATTCCTGTTGGAGATAGCGTTCCAGTTACATTCATTTCAGTGACTCCAGACGACCTGGCACAAACAACTATAAAACAAACGACTTCCAGAAATTCCTCACTATTTCGAAAATTACGATTTCGAAACCGCCTTTGTTTTTGTTGC